TTGGGGCAAATCTGTTTTATAACAATGATGGTGGGGTGATGGCTTTAGAGGTATTGCTGTGGCCAAGCCCTTGGCAAACATCATCTTATTGAAACACAAACATGCATGATGGGTATTATTCTACTGAATGGATGGGCAAATAGGTTAAGATGGGGTATGTGACTTGCCCACATCCACACAGTTAATGGAGGTGTAAGATGTAATGAATTTTTCTTCAAAGGTTTTAGCCTGTAAATTGTTAAGTACAGGGAGTTCTGAGATCTTCTCCAAAGAACTAATGTATCAGCATGTTCAGATCCCCTGTTGTTTGTTCTCAATTTCAAAGTTTAACTTCCTGGTTTTCTTTGCCCCCTTACCCCTAGTTTTAGTAAACAACTTTCCCACCAGTTCTAATCAGTAGTTCTTATCTGTTCCCCTGGTAACCTGCTTTGACCTGAGTCAACTTTAGATACCTTTTCTGTAACTATCCTTCCCACCAAACTGCTCACCCCACCACTCTGGCTCAAACCCTTGCTCCCTTTAAAATAGCCAGTCAGAATTAGCTTAGACTGTGCAGTCCAACCCTAGCCACTAGGGGAACGACATAGCAGTAGGGGCTACCTACGTCAGGGATAAGAACCCCTCCCCTCCCTTGTCTGGGTGTGTGCTCACCATTGCTCCATCTGTGAGATGCAACTTTCTGCAGAAGTAAATTGCCTTGCTGAGAAAATTTTTATTTGAGTGTTTCTTCTTTTGCAGCACCAAAAATTTACATATAACACAGGGTAAGGAAGGGTTCTGTGACTACACCACAGGATGGCTGCATCCAAACTCCGGCCTCTTTCTGTTACCCTGTGTGGCCCCCTCTGAAGCACCCGCTCTGCTCAACTACAAGGGTGGGCAAGGGAGCAGCATCAGGCAATGTCATGCTGCTGATCACTCCAAAGCCTCTGACTGGGACTCTGGCTCTGGAGCAGGGCAGGGAGGTCTCACCTCATTCCTGCTCAGGGAAGGCAGGGAGGGTGCCTGGTGCCCATCCCAGCATCTCCTGGCAATGCCTCCAGGGCAGAGCAAGTCAGTTGACATTTGCTGATGACTTCTGAGCAGGGGGTACGCTCCTTTTCTCCTTCCTCACTGCTTGTTCTCTCCTCCATCCTCAATCCTGCAGCCAGAGAGAGCTTTCTAAGGAGCAAACGACAGCCACGTTTCTCCCCTGCTTACAAAATATCATCTAGATAATACATTTCTGTAGTAAAAAAACAAATCCAAGAGTGTAGAAAGATTTATAAAACCTTCCTCCCGTCACGTTCTGCCATCTGCCTAGTACCACTCTCCCTGCACACACAGGTAAGCACTGTTTCCATTTTTCTTGTTTTCTTCAGAATTTATTTATGCATATGCAAGCAAAAGTGAGTACATGTTCTCTCACCCAGCCATTTTTTTTTACACATAAGCTAGCATATTTCACGCACTGTTCTGCAAGTTCCCCCCCCCCACCATTTAATGTATCTTGGCAATTTTTTCATGTTGTTATACAGAACACTTCCTCATTCTTAAAACAGCTACAGAATGTTCCACCATCCCTGTGCCAATGGATGTGTGGGGGCTCCCAGCCCTTTGCTGCACTGGACAAGCTTCTAGTGAGTCACTTTGCACTTGGCCAGCGTAGTAAGTTTAGCAGCAGGATAGATTCTCAGAAGCAGCATTGCTGTATCAAAAGAACGTGAGAATGTAATTTTGATAGTTACTGCCAAATTACTCTCCACTCTGGCCACCACCAACACGTGACAGCCGGTGTCCCCTTAGCCCAGGCAGTAGTGTGTTATCAACCCTGTAGATCTTTACTGAGTAGATAAACATCAAATGGTCTTCTGTTGTTAAAAGCCTTTCACTGTAATCCTGATTCCCTCCAGGATGAAGTCTAGCTTTCTTGGGTAGACATGGAAGTGAGCATAGCTTTGTCCTTTCTCAAGGCTCCTTGTCAGCTCGGGAGGTGAGGGGGTGGACCTGGACACAGCTCATGTCTCTGGGCTTCAGTTGCTTAGCAGTGAAATAGAGCAAAAGCGTTCTCTCTGATGAATGCTCTCAAGAGTCCTGAGAACGCACAGATTCTTGCCCAGGCAAAGCAGGCACTCCACACACATGGGCACGCATTGATACCTCCTGGTCTCCAAGGGGAGGGAGAAAGAAGCAGAGACTCAGGGAACCTTGGCAGGAGGTAGAGGTCCCTCTGCCCTAGCTCTCCTCCTCTCCTAGTGCCTTCGGCCCCTCCTCTGTGCCACATGCTGCCACCTTGTCATGCTAAATGCCTGCACTTCCTCACAGACCTCGGGCTACCTGCTGTGCCCGAGCTAACAAAGAGCATCTCATTAACACTCAGCAAAGCTCGTTAAGACTGTGAGCTGTGCATCAGTGGCAAACAAAGGTCAAGGTTCTTTACGTGGGAGTTAGTGCCTCTGGGTCCCTGTGGCGCCAGTATTCACAAACAAGATGAAGGGGGATCTATTTGGAGGTAAGTAGGCAACCAGTTGTATGACCAGAGTGCTGGAAACTCCCACTCACGGCCTTCCCCGAACCTGGTCTTGGCCCAGCTCCTGGAGGAAAAACACACACGGGGCCGGACAGGTTAGCTTTGATGAGGAGACGCAGACCTAAAGTTGAGAATGCCATCCCCAGGGGTGAGCCTGGCTGGAGGCTGGCGGGGAGGGAAGCTGCCGGGCAGCCTGCTGGGTGCGCGCTCTTTCCCCTCTGGACCTCTGAGTGCTCATCTGTGAAACGGGAACTCCACTTGCAGAAGTCGTGAGGGATGCATCAGAGGTGTACAGGTGCCACGGAGCCCTTGCTACCCTAAGGAAGATGACAGTGACACAGGGCCTGCCTCCTCCACCCTAGACCTGCCCGCCCAGCACCCCCGCAACACCCTGAAAAGGCAGAGGCCAGGGGAAGGAAGAGGAGCTGTACCGCAAAAGGAGAGGGGTGAGACGAGGGTTTCTTCACAAATGGGCATTCTTTGTTTTTGTTTGAGACAGTCTCACTCTGTCTCCTAGGCCAAATCTCGGCTCACTGCACTCTCCACCTCCCAGGTTCAAGCGATTCTTCTGCCTCAACCTCCCAAGTAGCTGGGACTGCAGATGTGCACCACCATACCTGGCTAATTTTTCTATTTTTAGTAGAGACAGGGATTCGCCACATAGGCCAGGCTGGTCTTGGACTCTTGGCCTTCTGTGATCCACCCGCGTCGGCCTCCCAGAATGCTGGGATTATAGGTCAAGCCACTGTACCCAGCCAAATGGGCATTATTTGAATGACATGCAAATGATATGCAAATGATTCTATCTCCATATTAAAACTAAGTTTTGGGGAAGTTCTCAGGACAAGTACTTGGAAATGTAGATCTTTTTCTAAGCACCTCCTGGGGCATCCTATTTGCCAGCCCCTTCCCCTCCCCACTGCTACTACCAGGCCTCCTCCCACCAGCCTGTCCCATACTCGATGCATGGGTGGTCATTTGGATGAGGATTGATCCTGCAGATGTGGCCTCATGCACATCTGGGGACCGCTGCCAGCAGGTCCCAGGTCAGAGCCCGGCCTGTGCTGTGATCAGGCCCTTCAGGGCTGTGTGCTTAGGTGCATGGTCCTTCCCCTCAGTGACTGCTTTTGGGCCTCCCAGCATCCAGGTTTCCCAGATGTTGGATGGGAAGATGCCCAGGTATGAAGCATTGTACAAACACAAGGGTTCTCATTCTGGATTTTCTAAGAATGGGCCTCTTGATCTGATCACCAACCTCAGACAACCCTGTAACCATCATCAGCCTTTGTTAGACTGTACTGAGAGGCTGTGAATCTTAATGGCTGAGGATACACCGGGGGACAGGCTGGTGGGGCTCGGTGCCTGGCTCCACCATTGTGTGGCTGCGTGATCCCCGCAAGTCAATCTCAGATCCTTGGCTGCCCTGTGTGCAAAACAGGTGTGACTGCACCTACTCTTCATGGTTAACAAGTGAGCTCACACGTGAGAACCCTGCTGTGTCCCCGGAGAGAGATGCTGAAGATCTAACTCCCGGTACCCGTGAATGCGAGATTCCTTGAAAATAGGGTCTTTACAGATGATCATATTAAGATGAAGTCACTAGGGTGGGGCCTAATCCAATATGCCTGGTGTCCCTTTTAGAAAGAAGGTGCCGTAGACAGAGAAACAGACTAAGAAGGTCACTTGAGGATAGAGGCAGAGGCTAGAGTGACGCAGAGACAAGGAACTGCAAGGCTGGTTTGCTACCAACCAGCAGAAGCCAGAAGAGCAGGCAACACTGTCCACGAAAGCCTGCAGGAGGAACCAACGCTGCCAACACCTTGCTTTTGGACTTCCAGCCTCCGGAACAGTGAGAAGAAACTCTTGTTGTGGAAATCACATAGTGTGTGGAGCTTTTTTATGGCAGCCCCGGGACACAGACACAAACCCTGAAGAGAGCCTCTAGCAGTCAGTGCCGTCAGCTAGGCTCACTCACTGTTTGCTTGATGTCATTCTTCACCATGCATGGTGGGTCCAAGGTCTAACAGTCCCTCAACAAACACTTGCTAAGTGGAGGACGCCATGGTGCATGTCTGCCTTGCATCCTCAGGCCCCCAGTTAGTATTTACAGAAGGCCAGGAGGGCTGGCCTGGAAACCACCTTTGATGTCTTTCCTACCCTCAGGGATTCATTCTAGCTCAGTCTGAGTCCACACTCATCAAGCGCAGTGGCAATGTCCATCCCCAGGGAAAGAGCTCAGTGCCCAGCACCATACTTGGCACGCCAAAGGCAGCCTCAAAATGCCCCTCTGTGGAGTCAGTTGGACCCTTTAAAGAGAAGAATCTCTTGAACCCCACCTCCCCCAGAGCATCCTGTGATCTGTTCCAGGAGGGTCGGCACCCTCCAGCCCACCCCCGCTCCCTCCAGTGCGAGCCCCAGCCTTTGTGCCAGCTTCAGGATGGGCAGTGCACACAGTCACACTTCAACTTGAGAAATGTGGTGGAGCCAGCAGTGCTTAAAACGCTCATGTTAACAGCAGCATCTACAATCCCACGTCACTTTAATAGGAACCCTCTGCCATGAGCAGGTGGCAGGCATGGCAGCTCCTCGCCACAGCGGCCACCCGCTAAAACATCCACTTGGAGTAGGTAGGAAATATGAGGGCTTGGATCTGTGAGGAAAGCTATGCTGAGCCCCACAGCCCCCAAAGAGGGCCTTCAAGGGGTCCCTTGAGACTGCGGCCAGGGGTAGGACATGCAGAAGCCCAAGCCAGGTCCCTCTGTCTTCTCTGGCCAGGACCAAAAGGCCCAGGGAGGGCCACAGGGCCATTCAGCACTGGCCGCCATAAAGCTGAAGGGGAGGGTTATGGGGGGCCAGGGGGTGTGAGGCTCCCCCCCCACACCAAATCCACTGTGCTCGTCCTGAAAGACCCCGAGGGCAGCATGGGACTCGGAGGCAGCTCTGGCTCTGCCACCGATCCAGCGACAGGGCAGTCACTGTGTCCTGGTGCTTCAGTTTTCACATCAGTAGAATGGGGGCCACCCTGTAACGTCCACACCAGAAGGCTGTGAGCACTGAGGCAGTGTAAGAGGGAGATCCCCTACAAAAGTCACCTGACCCCCATGGTGACCAGGCATGGAAGGAGGGCTGGTTTCTTCTGCCACTGGGCAAAAAGCCTAGCGTAGCTGCCAGCAGCCCGGCCTGTGGGGTGGCGGCCATCTCCAACTCCCAGCTCCAAAAAGGCAGCATGGTCCACACCATTTGTATGGATGTCAGCCTCCACGCTGGCCCCAGGCCCAGGCTTGTGGACACAGCTAGCCGGAGCCCAGCTGGGAAGCAGCTCCTGTCTCCCACCCATGGGACCAAAGGTGCAAGTGTCCAGAGCCCGGTCCGGGCTATAGGGAGGCCCCTGCGGGCAGGGGGATTTTATAGCCGCTCCGCAGGAGCACGAGGCAGGCGCCCAGCCCCAGGGCCCCTGTCAGTAGCACAGCACCCAAGGCCTTGAGGAAGGAAGTCCGGGTCCGGGTGAAGGAGCCGGGCGCCATGATGCCCAGCAGGGCAGTGCTGACGGTCAGCGTGTAGAGGATGGACACGCCCGTGTTGAGTGCCACGATCTTGCCGAACTTGGCAAATGGGGCGATGATGCAGAAGAAGAGGGGCACTGTGGCGATGACCGTGGTGAGGGCACTGGAAACGATGGCCACGCCCACGTGTCGCACGGCCTCCAGTGTACGCCACTGGCGCTGCGATCGGGCATCCTGGGGGTGAGAAGAGAGCTGGGGGCCCGGCCTGCACATGGGACCCCTCTGGCCAACACCTGGGGAATCATGCACCCCCACCCCAGGCTGGGTTCCTGCTCTGTAACTGGGATGAGAGCTGCAAGCGACCTCACAGGGCTGGGAGGGCAGGCACACAGTGGGTGTTGCTATGGCAACAGGACGCTAAAGTCTGCACAGTAGGTCCTCATAAATGGGAGCCCTGCTTGGAACTCATTTTGTTCCTTTGACCACAGGCAGTTAAATGTGTAACTGATTTGATTTTTACATATTTGTGAATGTTTTCACACCAGTGCAATTCCTAACTAAGGAAAAAAGTTGTTACTAGGCCCAGATCCTTTGTCACTGAGTATGTAAATATGTCCTCACCAAGCCACCAGGGGCTGGAGCAGAGTTGTGGCCTCTGGGTCATGGCTGGAAGGAGAATGAGCCATGGACTTGGGGCAATGGGAAGAAGGAAGGGTCCTTAGAATCCTGTGTCTGGTCCAACCCTCTCATTGCTCACCTGGGGAGACTGAGGCTGGGGGGGGAGTGGACCTTAGAACTTGATTCCCTGAGGCTTGGGGATCAGCTTTGGGAAATCTTAGGTCCTAGAACGCAGCCTGCGTGTGGGTCCTGGTACCGGGGTGTCCAGCTGCCCTTGAGGGTCCCTCAGCTGCACTGAGCTGAAAGACCCAGTGTGGGTGGTAGGAGGGTAAGGCAGGCAGGGTGCTCACCTCAGCCTGGTGGGGGGGCAGGTTCTCTCCAGCCAGCAGGTAGCCTTCAACCAGGTGGACGCAGTAATCCACGGAGGAGCCAACAAGGATGGACAGGGAGATGGCTTCCACCGCGCCCATCTCCCAGCCGCTCCAGTACATGATGGTCACCACCAGGCACACGATGCCTGTGAGGGGACAGCAAGGGAGGCAGCTTGGACTCCTGCCCCGGAGGACTTAGGGGAACAGGGACGTCTGGAGTCCAGCCCCACCCTCAGGTGACAGGAGGGACAAGGCACACTGAGGAGGCCCCCCAGGGAGGGGTCAAGTGTAACAACACTTCACTGAGCTGAGGGCTACTACCTGGGTACCCCAGCTCTGCTCGGGAGCACAGACGTGCGGGAAAGACAGACCTATAAGCCAGTGCCCCAGATGGCACCGGCAGGTCTTTTGACATGGGGTGTGGGAGGGGAAGCCTCCAGCGACAGTGAAGGGTTCAGAGAAACTTGCTATCTGGAGGCCATCAGGGAGACCCTGCCTGTTGCCGTCCTCACCAACTGGATTCCTGCCAGCCTCTCACCCACGTACCCAAGATGCTCAGGAGCACGGGTAGCAGGAGCAGGATGTGGGTGGTGAACACGGCCACCGCGGCCACGCAGATGAGCAGGGACAGCACCAGGCCACACAGGGCGCTCTGCACCCCTGCAAGGGAGAACAGGGCCTCAGTGCACTGCTCTATGGGTGACTGCAGCCAGCTGTGCTGCTGGGGTGAGCCCTTGACCTCTCTGAGACTCCAATTCTCCACCTGTAAAATGGGGTCATAACAAGACCTACCCCACAGGCCTTGTTTGGAGTTGAAGAGAACACAGGTCAGGCCCTCAGTCCAGAGCCTGGCACCTACGGGGGGCTGGTAACTGGCAGCTGCCATCATGGTCATGACTGATGCTTTTTTCTTTTTTTGAGACGGAGTCTTGCTCTGTTGGAGGCTGGAGTACAGCGGTGTGATCTTGGCTCAATGCAACCTCAGCCTCCCCGGGTCAAGCGATTCTCTTGCCTCAGCTGCCTGAGCAGCTGGGACTACAGGCACGTGTCACCATGCCCAGCTAATTTTTATATTTTTAGTAGAGAGGGGGTTTCACCATGTTGGCCAGGATGGTCTCGATCTTTTGACCTTGTGATCCGCCCACCTCAGCCTCCCAAAGTGCTGGGATTACAGGCATAAGTCACCGCGCCTGGCCTGTTACTTTTTAGGTGGCCAAAGTCCAGATCAGAGAACATGGCCAGATGCCCCTAACAGGAGAGGACCCAAACTCCGGCCTCTGATGAGTGTTCTGGCCATTGTGTCACTTCTTTTCCCCAGGGCTCTTGGTCAGGACGGGGAGTGTGGCTCACAAAGGCTGCTTCGCACCCTCCCTGCCCCAGGTCCCTCTGCCTCAGCCCCTGCATGCCCAGGGTGGAGGGGCGGGGCTGCCGCTTGCCTACGATTTCCATGAAGATCTGCTTCCAGTGCTCACAGGTCTGGAATCCCCTGTGCAGGGCTGAGCCCTCAGGGAAGGCCCGCAGCTGCTGCTGGAGGAAGCTCTCCCAGCGCAGGTAGTCCGAGTATGTCTGGAAGGAGGATTTGCCTTTGTACGTGGTCTGTGGGGAGAGAGAGGAGCTGGTGAGACAGGCAGGGGCTATGTGGCCCACCCAGTTTGTTCTGTGGCCACTAGTGGAGTGCTGTGTGTTTTGGGGAGGGTATGAATGATGATTCAATCCAAAACGAGTCCCGACCAGCTTCTGGAGGCATCATGTGATTGTTACGGCAGCGCTGGTCCAGATGCAACCACGGTCCTGGCCCACCAGAACTCCCTTCAGCTCGCAGGGCCCCCCCATGCTTTCATGTCCACGCAGAGCGCATGCTGTTCCTTCTGCCTGCTCAGCCAGTTCTTGTTCATCCTTCAAGGTTTTCTGGGGTCCTGTCTCCTCCAGGAAGCCTTCCTTGATGCCCCAAGGTGGGCCTCCTTTGGGGTCTCCAAACCCTCAGTGCTTCCCCAGCTCTTGTCACTGCCTGGAAACCTGCCTGGCCCTGGAGGGTGAGACTGGGAATTGCAAGAGCAGGAGAAGCCTGGCTGGCCCACAGTGCCCAGCCCTGAGGGGTGCTCACGGATGAAACAGGCACTTGCCCTGCTCTAGAAGGTTCTTAAGGTATCTGCTTATCAATTCTGCTCTTGCTGCGCATAAGCCAGTTCACAGGAGTCCGTGTGTATGTGTGTGCACGTGCAGGTGCGTCTGAGGGCTGGTGGGGTCAGCCTAGAAGTGGGTGCCCTGCCATGTGGTAAGCCTGAGTGGGGAACTCTCTCCTCCCTGGAATTGCCTGGGGCTTCAGCCTGCAGAGGGAGGTGAGTTCTGATATATGGTGCAACATGAATGAACCTAATACCGAATAAAATGAACCAGTCACCAGCCAGGAGCATTGGCTCACACCTGCAATCTAAGCACTTTGGGAAGCTGAGGCGGGTGGATCACCGAGGTCAGGAGTTCGAGACCAGCCTGGCCAACATGGTGAAACCCCATCTCTACTAAAAATACAAAAAATTAGCCAGGCATGGTGGCGTGTACCTGTAATCCCAGCTACTCGGGAAGCTGAGGTAGGAGAATCGCTTGAACCCGAGAGGTGGAGGTTGCAGTGAGCCGAGATGACTCCACTGTACTCTAGACTGGGTGACAGAGTAAAACTCCAGTTCGGAAAAAAAAAAAAAAAAAAGAAAATGAACCAGTTACCAAAGGACAAAAGCCATATGATTCCACTCACATGAGGCTCCCTAGAGCTGTCAAATTCATGGAGAAAGTAGAATGGTGGGTACCAGTGGCTGTGGGAAGGGGAGGGGGAGAGTTGGTTTTTAATAGGGACAGAGCTTCACTTTGGAAAGATGAAAAAAGTTCTGGAAGTCGATGGTGTTAATGGTTGGATAACAGTGTGAACATACTTAACGTCACTGAATTGTATGCTTAAAAATGGTTTGGGCCGGGTACGGTGGCTCACACCTGTAATCCCAGCACTGTGGGAGGCCAAGGTGGGTGAATCACCTGAGGTCAGGAGTTTGAGACCAGCTTGGCCAACATGGTGAAATCCCATCTCTACCAAAAAATAAAAAATAAGAAAAAATTAGCCAGGCATGATGGTATGCACCCGTAGTCACAGCTACTGGGGAGGCTGAGGTGGAATAATCACTTGAACCCAGGAGGTGGAGGTTGCAGTGAGCCAAGATGGTGCTGCTGCACTCCAGCCTGGGTGACAGAGTGAGTGGCTAAAAAAAAAACCGGTTAAGATGGTCAATTTTATATTACAGTAAAATAAATAAAGAAACAAACAATCTTTAAAAACCCATCTGGGGCTTTGAACTGGTGTCTGCGTTTGCCTAGGGTCTTGCTGAGGGCTCTGAGGCCCTCCTGGCTGGTGGCTGGTGGCCAGTGGTTTCCTTGCTTGTACAGTGAGTCAAACAAACAGTAGGAAGGAAGTCAGGGCGGGGGCCAGAGAAGAGTCACCTCCCCCCGTAACCTGTCACATTTGTTCTTACTCCCCAGGCTTTCCCGTGTGTTCTTATCTCCACACCTGCCAGAGGGCTGAAGGGACCTTTAACCCTCTTCTCTAGAGGAGGCCAGAGGGGATGAGTAACTTGCTCAAGGACACAGAGCACACCAGGATCCCAGTGAGGACTGAGCCCAGATGTCTGCATGGAGGCAGCAGGGATGGTCTTGCCAAGCCTGGGAGAGCCACGTGCCAGGGCAGAAAGGTCCCACAGTGCCCATGAACCTGGCACTAAGTAAAATAAACCAGCCACCGGCGTGTGTGGGTTGTGTGTATGTGTGTATATGTGCACAGGTGTGTGCCTATGCCTCCTTGGGCAGAGCCCAGGGAGCATCCAGGGGTGACAGAGGCAGCAGGGAGGTATAAGGGATGGCCGGTCCCCTGGCCTCCCTGAGGGAGGCTGCCAGGGTCTGGGGCCCTGACCTGGCTTCCCACAGTGGCAGAGGGGGGCATCCTCGACTTCTACCGGCCCCTACAGACTAGAGACTAAAAAATACCATGGATACCCGGTTAGTGGAGAGGGAGGGGAGGAGAAGAGTGGGTGGAAGGGAACTGGCAGGCCACCCAAGGGGAAGGAAGGGCAGAACTCAGTCAGGTGGCCTGGTTAAGCACTTGACACTGACACCCACTAACTGTGTGACCTCAGGTAAGTCACTCCACCTCTCTGGGCCTCAGCATCTCCCCCTGATCTGGGATCAGAGGTGGCACACATGGGGCAAGTATGCATCACAGTGCCCAGAGAGGCTGCCCAGGCTCACCGACTCGAAAGCCATGGAGATCCACTGCACGCGGCCCTCCCTGACGCCCACTGCCCCATGGGACAGCTGCCCCGGGAGCAGGTTGGGCTCAGGCAGCTCCTTGCACTCAGGGTGCAGCATCTGCAGGAAGGAAGAGATGCTGTAGCCTGCAGGAGAGACAAGAAAGGGAGTGGGTGGTGGCCTTGGAAGAGCCAGTCCACCCCGTCACACCTGTGCCCACGCACTCACCTACCTCCGAGGCTTAAAGTGTTTGTAACCAGTGGCAACGCCATTGGGAAACCTACAACACGCATTTGCCATTGGGGTGGAACATGACATGTGGGGCCCTCCCAGGGATACCCCTGCAGTGGCCTCCTCCAGGTTGGCTGTGGACCAGCCCCTGGCCCCAACCCCAATTTTGGAAAAGCTACCCCTGCAGGTGTGCCCCATATCCCACACATGCGCACCTCTGCACTAGTCCCGTTCACACACAAGCCTGCTCACATCTGAAAACCCTTGATTGCCGGCACACACCCCACCCTGGTGTGGACACACACAGCACAGATACACACCTGCAATACACCCACACGCCAGGCACTGTGTCCTTCGGGCTGTCTACCTTGGCCCACGGCCTCTGTGCCTCCCATGTCAGTCCATCCTCCCTCGAAGGAACCAGCTCCCCCAAACCCACGCACCTGAGGGTAGGCACTGGGCCCCGCCCGGCTTCACCAGCTCGGAGTTGGCTGCGATGGCCTTGCAGAGACGACACAGGTGCCCAATTTCCTTGAAGAGGTCAAAGCTGCTGTCATAGACAACGCTGCCCTTTCCCAAGGAGACACAAGCCGGCCCAGGCCGCTCAGTGAGACGCGGACTCAGTCCTGAGTGCTCACCCCCAGCCCCAGCGATGCCACACAGGCCACTACGGCTCCCCTCCTCCCCTGCCCCCCCCACCTTACCTGGACTTCTTCCTTTTCTCCCCACCCTCCCAGACAGCCACATCCTCACTGTCCCACAGCACCTGCCTGGTCCCCTGGCCCTGCTCTGAGTGCCTGCAGACACCCAGTGTGGACTGAACACACAATCTCCTGACTCCACCTTGCTCTCGACTTACTTCACCGCTGCCATTCCTGTATACCCCATTGCGCTGTGACTACTAAAGGCAGGGTATACCCAGCCATCCTTCCTCCCAGGAATCCCCGCACCCACTATGCCCAGTTCAAAATGGCCAGGAGTACATGTGAAGGAGGGGCGTCCTAGAGAGGAGAAAGCCACGGCTGAGCTCAGAGCAAGGGGGAGGGCCGGGGAGGGCAAGGAGGTGTCCACACCTGGACCACCCTCTCTCCATTCTAGTCCCTCACAGGCAGGCAGCCCCCTTGGGCCCTAAACCCAGATTCCCGGGTGAGTCTAAGAGGTGGACGCTGCTGAGTCCTCAAGAAGAACAGGGCCCCCAGGAGCCCAAGGGGGTTCTGTCTGGACTGGAAGAGCCATCGAGGAGCCAAGAGGGGGTGGGAGGCGCTGGACATGGTTCCCTGGGCAGGTGCTTATTTGCAAGTCTGTTGCAGCTGAGCCCTCGGCATCTGCCCGATGCAAGCCCCATACCGGGTCTCCAATGACGTGGTTGTCCACCTGCCGGGTACGGTTGATGCCAATAATGCCGAAGACCACGAAGACCATGGCCCCGGTGTCTACCAGCGGCCGCACCGCTGGCTTCCCGCAGCCCGTGTTCACGCAGGGGTTGAAGCCGAAGGTGGCTGAGAGACGGGTCTTGGGCACTGGGAACAGGGAGGCAGAGCTGTAAGGGCAGGAGGGGCCCAGCTCCCGAGGTCCCTACCTGTGTGCCCCTGCCATACCTTTCTCACTAGGCACGAAGAAGAAGCCTTTGGTTGGTCCATCAGGGCTGGAGCTGAGCAGGCAGCCAGGGGGAGCCAAGCACACACGCCCATGGAAGGGGGGCTTGTGGGATTGGGCGAAGTACAGCTTCCTGTGGAGGCAACGGAGGCCGGGCTGAGGCCAGAAAGGCCAGGAGGAGTCAGGGAAGGTGAGGCCAGTGGTCTGGGGCTAGGGCTGGTGGTTAGTGGGGTCTGGACTGGGCTCTGTCCTTATATGGGGATTTGTTCTCGGGCTGGGGGAAGTGCCCTGGGCCAGGGGTCTGGAGGCTGTTCTAGCTCCGCCTCTGCCAAGGCTGATTGTGGGAACCTAGCCAAGGTCTTTCCCCTCTGGGCCTTAGTCTCCCCATAGGAGGCATGAAGGGTGGAGAAGACCAGCAGCTTTCAAACTGTCCCCCAGGGGTATGAGGGTTCAGGAAGGACTCCAGGGCCAACCCTAGCGGTTCCCGCTCAGAAGCCCCCAGCCTCGCCTCAACCCTAACAGTGAGGAATTCTCTAGATTCCACAGGGAGGAAGGGCTACAGGGTCAACAGCTGGCTAACCATTGGACCCACTGCAGCTCAAAGTTCTTTCTAGAATGTTTCCAGCTCATCTAGGCAGCCTCCCTGAACCCTGGTCACTAATGTGTCTGTGCAGAATGAGGCCAGCCTGGGGCTCAGGGGAGGACAGGCAGAGGGGCCCCCACCCCTGAGTCAGGGTGCCAGGCTGGAAAGGACCCCGTGGGTGCTGTCCTGCCATTTTCCAGCCTCCCAGCTGCACCCTCAGCCTCATGCAGAGTTTGGCCTTCTGTGGCTGCTTGACGCTCCAAAGCCAGCCCTGTCAGAGACCCTGGAAAGGACCCAGCGAGAGATGTCCTGCCATTCCCCAGCCTCTAAGCTGCATCCTCAGCCTTATGCAGAGTTCAGCCTCCTGTCAAACAGCCTCCAGTGTTTGACACTCTAAAGCCAGCCCCATCAGAGCCCACAGTCCCCACGTCACCCAGCCCCGTCAGAGGCCACAGTCCCTGTGTCACCAAGCTCTGACAGAGCCCATAGTTCCTGTCACCCAGCCCCATCAGAGGCCACAGTCCCCGTGTCACCGAGTCCCATCAGAGCCCACAGTCCCCACATGTCACCCAGCCCCCTTAGAGGCCACAGTCCCCATGTCACCCAGCCCCCTCAGAGGCCACAGTCCCCGCGTGTCACCCAGCCCCATCAGAGCCCACAGTCCCCGAGTGTCACCCAGCCCCGTCAGAGGCCACAGTCCCTGTGTCACCAAGCATGGCCTCACACCACTGTTCTCTACCACAATGACAGTGGGGCTATTTCTTTCAGAGCACGTATCATAGTTTATAATGACACCGCTGTTTACTTGTTAGTTGCCTCTCTCCCGATGGATGGCCTGAGGGCAGGAGTCACATCTGTCTTTGTCACTACCACATCCCCAGCACAGTGCTGGCACAGTTGGAGCCCACGGTTTGTTAAATCCGTGAACGGCAGAGAGAGACCTTCGGCTAACATGGCCTCCACGGATAAATGAATGCAGGGCCGTGTTTACAAAACGGGGAATGAAACCCCAGAAAATGTGCCCCTGGCTGGGATGGAGATCCTGAGAACACAGAATTCAGCCTCTAACTTGGCATGCAGTGGGGGCCGATTTCACACCAGGCACTAACAGGCATTGGGCCTGTGGCAGATGAATACAACAGAGGCACCCCCTCACTCTCCTTCCAGCGTAAGGGGCGGGGGCATTCAATAAATATTTTCTGAATTCATGATGTATTTAGAGTGTGGGTGAGTGCCTTGTCAAGGAAGAGCGGTGCGTACTCATTCATTCATTCATTCATTCAGCAAGTACTTATCTGCACCTGCTACACCAGACACCATGACAGGTGCTGGGAGGTGGCACCAAGTGAGACGGTCAAGGTACCACCACAAGATGCCCATGTGCTCCCGTGGGAAGACAGGTGACACTGCAGGTCAGCATAGTGGCAGGTGGCAGTGGGGCCAGGAGCGCAGTGGGTGACATATGGAAAGAGGTTGGACATGGTGCTCAGGGAGGGACAGCCTCTCCCAGGAGATATTTGGACAGTGGCTTAAATCTTGAGAAATTGTCTTGCACGTGAGGAGCTGGGGAAAAGCATTCTAGGCAGAGGGTGTGCTAGAGGGACACCAGGTGGCCACTGTAACCCCTGAGGAGCTATCAAGAGGGGGAGCAGTTCCTGGGCCTGCCATCTTTCCAATGTTCTCCACTACCCAGCCCTGAGCAGAGACCCATCTGAGTGTGTGGAAATGGGTGGCAGTTTCTTAAAGGGGACTGCTGGCCTCCCTCAGGGCTGGGTGCAGTGGCTCATGCCTATAATCCCAGCACCTGGGGAGGCCGAAGCAGGTGAATCACCTGAGTTCAGGAGTTTGAGATCAGCCTGGCCAACATGGCAAAACCCCATCTCTACTAAAAATACAAAAATTAGGCAGGTGTGGTGCATGCCTGGAATCCTAGTTACTCAGGAGGCTGAGGCAGGAGAATCACTTGAACCTGTGAGGCAGAGGTTATACAGCGAGCCAAGATCATACCACAGCACTCCAGCCAGGGCAACAGAGTGAGACTCCATCTCAGAAAAAAAAAAAGTTGGGGGGCCTGCTGGCATGCCTCATGTGAAGAGAGAGAAAAATGAGAAAAGGGCAAAGAAGCAGCGGGGCTGGTGGGCACTGGCTTGTCTGCCAGGCTCTGTTACCGGGTGTGCTGCTGCTCCTTGGTGGCCACGTAGAAGCTGAAGTCAAACTTCCAGCCCCGCTTGGCATCACAGGCCAAGGTCGTCAGCATCCACTTGCAGGAGGGGCTCGCCGCCTGGAGCAGCCCTACTGTAGACATACAAGCGGTCAGCTTCCTGGTGAAGTTACCAAAAGGCGCTCTATATACCTAAGCAGTGGGTTGACAGAGACAAGACACATGACTCGGGGGGGCTGCCTCGGCCTGGGCCCGGCCTCAGGCTCCGTCCCCTCCCGTCTCAGCATAGTTCACCCTGTCCCCACCCTCGTAGTCGGGGACAGAGCCCTGGGCGGAGGCTTGGGTGGCCTGGGTTTGAGTTTGGCACTTGGGCAAATCCCTTCCTCCCTCTCTGAGCCTCATGTCTTCCTTCAACAATTGCTCACTGTCTGCCCCATGCCAGGAACTGTGCCAGGCTCTGATGGGCATGGCCCTTGCCCTCGTGGAGCTGGCAATGGTGATGGCTCCCAAGAACAAGGAAGATAAGACGGGACAAATGACAGGGAGAGGAGGACAAGGCGAGAAAGGTTCTGGGGCAGGACTGTGTGGGCCCGACAGGCATGCCAAGACCTCAATGAGCACCAAAGAGTCAGCCACGTACGAAGCCAAAGGAAAAGCTTTTCAGGCAGTAGGAACAGCATGTGCAAAGGCTCAGAGGCAGAAAATGCCTTAGAGACCTCATCTTTCAAATGAAAATATAAACCCTGAGAAAAAAAATTGGCACGTGTCCCTGACACCATGGAGGGTGTACCATGTTAAAGAAACACAAATGAGCCTGGGCAACACAGAGAGATCCTGTCTCTACAAAAAACAAAAAAACAAAATTAGCTGGCATGGTGGTGTGTGCCAGTGGTTGTAGCTACCCAGGAGGCTGATAAGAGGATCCCTTGAGCCCAGGAGGTCGAGCCTGCAGTGAGCTATGATCATGCCACTGTACTCCAGCCTGGTGACAGAGCAAGCCCCTGTCCACCCCACTCCAAAGAAAAGAAAAGAAACACAAATGACCCCCATGAAGGAGAAGACTCAAGTCTGTGCTTGGGGACTCCTTTCTGCCATGCTGGAGCAGCTGCCAAGGGCAGCAAGATTCCTGGTTGCCACTGCCCAAGCAGGGACTGCGCCCAGGCGTTCTGTACTGCACACGCCTCACCTCACACACCTCCAACAACGCTGGCTGGTGCCTGTCGCATCCCCATGTCACAGATGAAGAAACTGAGGCTCAGAGAGAGTAAGTAATCTGCTCAAAGACACACAGTTAATAAATGGCAGAGCCAGGATTTGAATCCAGGCCTGGCTGACTCAGAAGTCCACGCTGCTACCACTCAGCAGGTCCCTGTCACAGACATGACTGGTGTGGGGAAGTGGGCCCTCATCCTCAAAGCTGTGTCTCCCTCCCTATGTGGCCAGTGCCCACAGTGTGGCCCTCAGGGCCCCCCACCCCCAGTGGTGGTGGCTCGCTTCATGGCAGCCCAGGCTCACCTGGAAGGAGGGCACCTCTCCATCCCCAGGCAAAACAGCTTGCCAAGGAGCAGGCAGGCTGGCATTGAGGGAGAGCCTGTAGACAGCAGGGTGGCCTTTACTCTTCACTTTAGAGATGTACACAGTGCCCAGGAAATCTATGGACAAATGAGGGATGACAGAGGGGCAGACCTGACCTTGACTGACTTATCCTGACCCTGAAGCAGGACACCCTCAGCTCTGTTGACTAAAGAGCTGAGTCCTGGCCTTGGGCTCATCTCCAATGCTGACTGTGCCTCTCTACTGGACCAGGTCCATGGCAATGATAGTGGAGGAAGTGATGGGCAAATGGATGGGGTGGGAGGGATGGTGAGGGAGGTGATGGGCACATGGATAGGGTGGAAGGGATGGTGAGGGAGGTGATGGGCACACAGAGGGGGTGGCAGGGATGGTGGGGAAGGTGGACACTAGGATGGGGTGGGAGGATGGTGGAGGAGGTGGTGGGCACTGGGATGGGGTGGGAGGGACGGTGGGAGAGGTGGTGGGCACTGGAATGGGGTGGGAGGGATGGTGGGGGAGGTGGTGGGTACTGAGATGGGGTGGGAGGGACGGTGGGGGAGGTGGTAGTCACTGGGATGGGTGACCCAGGTGACAGTGATGGAGGGTTCTATGGTGAGGTGTGCCAGTGATGGTATAGGGCTGGCGCTGGGAATGACAGTGGTTAGGCAGAGGTGGTGACAGTGCCACAGGGTGATAGGGATGGACAGAGTTCCCTCGATTCCTCCAGTACCCTTGTCCCACCCACCTCTGAGGGAGACTCCAGTAGGGATAAGCCAGTGTTCAGGGCCCGGGACTCCCGCCACTCCCCCAACCCCCCGACACTCAGGAGATGTCTCTGGTGCACAGGGAGGGCCTGGGGAGCACCACAGACCAGGGTGTCAGGGGAGCCTACTGTCCTGGCAGGATGGCGGGTGAGGGCCCCAAATTCACCCCCCTTCCCCAGCTCCTCTGCAGTGACCAGGAACACACATTTTTCTTACAGGAGAATCCAGAAAGAATTCTACCTGCTCCTCTCACAGGGCCCCCAACCCTAGCACCAGGGAGGATTTCCCCACACTCCCATCCCCAGCGCTCACCCTGCAGGGTGGCCTCAGGCCGGCTGGCCCAGGAGACCCCTGAGCCTCGCCTCTTCTTCTCCAGGGACGTCCGGATGTTGTTCTGCAGGCTGTGAGGCTTCTCCTGAAACAGACCTGCCCCCCAACGCCACATCAATGACAGCAGGGCATCCCGGGCTGGGCCTGATGGGCAGAGGGAAGAGGCTGGGATCTGAAACAGTTTCAGGAACTGGGGCCCAGGGACTGGAGGGGGGTGGTCAGGGGTCAGAAAAAAACTAGGAAGAACTTTTAAAAAAATCAAATACTGAATTTATAAAAATTTTAGGCCCAGAGAAAGGCACCATCAGCCTGCCCAGAGAAAAACATTGAACCACCCCTGCTCTCCCTCTCTGTGCCACTCTGCCCTCTGTTGGGTAGGGACGATGCCACACTTCCCTCAGGGGTGGGATGTCACATCCTCTGCACCCAATTTACAGGCATGACTAGAAAGCCACGGTCATCAGCTGGCGGACATGATGGGAGACATATATTCCTATTTTGCCTCAAGTGTTGTACGTTAGCCTTTTGAGTTTTTTTAATTAGAAATGAGAGAAACTACACCTTCAAAGTTCTAATCCTCACAGCCATCCTGCGGCAGTTCCGTGAACCCCACTTGATGGAGTGGAAAGCAGAGGTGGAGGGACCTGCCCAGGGAGTGACCTCAGCCCTGTTTGGGTCTGGCCTCACCTGCCCTTTGTAAAGCTGAAGCACTCTGCTGTACTCTGGAGGGGTCTCTCCAAGAGGCAGTTCCAGAGGAAGAGGTACAGGGGGCAGGGGCTGGGCTGTGGGTGGGGTTCTGGCCCCAGATGTTGTTGGGGAGTTTGGGGTTTGTCCATCTGCGGAAGGGGAGCAGGCCCTCTGAGCAGGCAGGAAGCCTGTGGTGGCAGTGATGGAGCGCAAGGCCACACCCTGGCAGCAGGGAGAGGAGCTGGGGACGTGGCCAAGGCTGGCTCTGAGGTTCCAGGGGCTCCCCCAGTGCCTCTCGGAGCTGCAGTGGATGATCATGCATTTGGCTGCCATTACCAAGGGGAAGGCCAGGTTAATCTGAACACCGCCCTAATTAAACGAAGGCAATTACAGCAGCCAGCAGACCTGCTCCCGGGAGCTGGAAGCGCTCACCCAGGCGTCTTCTCATTTGGTTTCTAACTGCCCTGGCAAAGCTGGATGACCTTGGGTTGATTTCGCCTGCCCCCACTCCACTCCCCCTCTGTAAAATTCGGCCTGGACCAGCTACCTCAGAATCAGGGAGCCATCTCTATCTCCCCTCCTTGCTCATTCCTGGCTCCCACGCCATCACCAAGCCCTGTGGAAACCACCTCCTAAAAACCTCTGAACTCCACCATGGCTGCCATCAGCATGGGGTAATCTAGAATACCCCATTAGCCTCCTACCCAGCCTCCACCCAGTGCCCCAATCCACTCCACACAGCACCTGGGAGACTCCATCACCCCGCTTCTCCACTTAAACCCCATGACTAGTCTCCAGTGACGATCAGAACAAAATCCAGAACCCTCACTTCCGTCCCCCTGCCCTGGCCCAGCCCACCAGCTTACAACCTTAGCTCCTGCAACTGCCTCTCTCCAACTTGGTCTTGGTCTTCCCACCTCTGTGGCTCTCCTCTGCCTAGACTCCCTCCCTACCTGGCTAACCCACTCCTTCCCACCTCTCCCCTCACTGCCTGGCTAACCCCATCCCTTCTTGCCTCTCTCCTCCCTGCCTGGCTAACCCCACCCCTTCCCGCCTCTCCCCTCCCTGCCTGGCTAACCCCACCCCTTCCCTTCTTTCCCCTCCCAGCCGGGCTAACCCCTCCTCTTCCTGCTAGGCTGGCTAACCCTTCCTCTTCCCTCCTCTCTCCTCCCAGCCTGGCTAACCCCACCCCTTTCCTCCTCTCCCCTCCCAGCCTGGCTAACCCCACCCCTTTCTTCCTCTCACCTCCTAGCCTAGTTAACTCCTCCTCTTTCCTTCTCTCCCCTCCCAGCCTGGCTAACCCCAAATTTTCCCTCCTCTCCCCTCTGGGCCTGGCTAACTCCTTCCCATTATTGTGAGTTTTGGCTTAGATGTTACTTCCTCCAGGAAGCCTTCCATGATGTGGGCCTCTAAGACTCCCTATTCTTCCTCCACCAAAGCTCAGATCTACTATTACAGTGACCAGTCCCTTGAGCTGGATGTGGACTTCCTGAGCTTGGGAAGCCTGTGCCTCCCACCCACCACACTCCCCAGAGCCAGCACCCAGCAGGTAACCCACAAGCATCTATGGAATGAACTGTGGGAACATGGGGGCTCAGAGGTCAGTGGGACTTAACTGAGGTCAGGCATGAATGGGGAGCCCAGATCCTGCATCTCTCAGACCAACAGCCTTTGAGACCTGGACACCCAAGAGGGCAGGTAGCGCCTCACCTGAACAGGTGATGCAGGAGATGCCCTCGGCGCTCAGGTTGTACTTGAGGTCCAGCAGCACCTGGATGTTGGTATCGGGCCGGAAGAGCAGCGGGGCCCGGCTGGCGGGGCGGAGCCGGCTGGCGAACACCAGGGACAGGATGAGGATGGAGACGAACAGCCCTGTGAGGAAAGGGCGCTACACTAGGCGGGGCTGGGCCCAGCTGGTGCATTCCCAGTGGGCTCCCGAGCGCTGTGAGACAGCTGCTCTGGTTGTGGGGGCCGGAGTGTCCTAAGGGAGTGGGGCAAGGCCCTGCATGCCAGTCCGTGGGTGAAGTTTCCTGGGGATGGTCCTCCAGGGCCAGGGATCAGACGCTTTGTGGTGTCCCCTAGGGTTTGACTATAAGCTATAAGCTGACACTCCTGGACAAGAAGCAGCCACCACCTCGGAGCACCTCATAGTTTATGAAGAGCTGGTGCACCACTTGATCTCACACAACTCTGAAATACTGTTGAAGACGACAGTGATAACAGCACTTCACATTCACTGAGCACTCACTGCATGCACGTGCTGGGCTGAGGTCTTTACATACTCTCAAATCACAGCTGCCTTCCTAGCCACACTTCTCATCCTCAATTACAGAACTGAACACTACACAGACTGGAATAGCCAAAGTCACACAGCTAGGATGTGGCCAAACTGGGACCCAGGCTCAAGTGGATCTAACTCCAGGGCATGTGTGCTCTGTTCTGCTGCCCAGTGTGAGGCTGGCACACAGCAGGGGCCAATAAGCAACCGCTGCCGTGGGACCAGCTTCATTCTACACAGGAAGGAGGGGGGTTGGAGAAGGAGAGACCCCACCTGGTGCATCTGCGAGAGGGGTGGGCTCCCAGTGCCTGTGTTTTGGGGGTGGAACTGCAGGACGGGGGCAGGGGCAGAGGGCCCACTTACCCACGATCACCCAGCGGCTCTTGACAGCTGACCACAGGACCCAGTGGTGCAGCAGCTCCTGCAGCTGCACAATGAGCTGGCCGCGGCTGCCCATGTTGGAGGCTGGCTGCAGACCCTCGGGGGACACGGATACCAGGGACACGTCTCCCAGTTCCAGTGACACTGCCAGGGCAGAGCAGAGGCCCGTCAAAGCCCACTGTAATTCACACTCACTTCCAGGGAAGCCCAGATGCTTGGTGAGGAAGCTCCCAGGCCATCCTGTCCAGCCCCCTGCCTCAGGACCAACTTGTCAAGCATTACTCCCCTGGCAGAGGCAGTGCTGGGTCTGGCTGGGTGAGCAGGGCAGGCCCATGCCAGCTCTCACCTGGCTCTTCGTCGACTTCCAGCAAGGGGATGTCATCATCCAGGTAGGGCATGGGGCCCTGGGTGGGACTGCTGCCAGCCTGCTCAGGAGCTGCAAACATGACTCCAGGGAAGTGCAGGGAGCTCTTGCATCCACAATTCTGGTGGCAGCTGTGGAGAGAGTAGGGGACAGGGGTGAGCCAGAGGGGGTGAGACAGGGCCCTGGGGATCATATGAACCCAGGTATCACAGTGCTGCTGATGTCATACATGGGATACATACCCCAGACTTTTGGGAGCTGGTCACTTGGTTTCTTTCTAGTACCATCTACCCCAGGGCCCTCAGGTGCCAGTCTTCCTCCAGAGAGATAAATGGTAACAGCAGACATCACCCCGGATGATGACACACAGTGGCCCCGGCACTAAGGTGATCAAATCAGGGCCTCATTCTGCTGCTGCTGTGTGGCCCAGGGCCTCTGCCACCAACTAAATACTCAGGGGAGCCAGAAGGAGGACGAGGGCTGGGCTAAGGGTGTAGCTGCATGGCTGAGGTCTCAGCTGGAGTTAATGCATGAGAGATAAGGCTCACCCTAGGGACCTGGCACAAGAATAATCCTCATGGTTGATATGAGCACTGTGTGTGTGGCTAATACCACTGCCATGTGCCAGCAGCAAGCCAGGAGCCCTGCGTGGATGATCTCAATTAATCCTCACGGGACTCACACACAGGGATCACAACTGCTTCAAAGAAAAAGAAACAGATGCAGAGAAGTGAAGTCACCTGCCCAGAATTCCATGGCTGCCAAGGGAGGAGGCTGGGCTTGGAGCCCACGTCTGACTGATTGCAAAGATGACTGTGCCCAGTAGGACTATAGGGGGACAGCCCCAGACTGGGGAGCAGGGGCAGTGGGCTTATTTGGCATCTCTGTAGATTAGAGGAAGGTGCCCTTTCCCCACAATGCTGATTCTATGTCATGAAACTGTCATGGAAAACAGTCATATCTGAATGCCAATGGTAGAGAGAGCAGAGCTTAGCCAGGGCACCTGTGGGCAGTGCCCAACCCATGCCACCACAACAGGGTCCTGAAGGGAGAAAGTGTGAGTAGGAGAGCTCAGAAGTCCATCTCAGGCCCAAGTCTAAGCTCCTCGCTGGGCCCTTCTCTCCCTCCAGCCCCTTCAGGGCTCACCATGTGCAAGTGGACACTGTCATGGGTCCCTGAACACCACTGACCAAGGCTTTTCTTTTTTTTTTTAATCTAGAAAGACCAAGGCCTTTTTTTACAGTGAGTGGCCCTGTTCCAAGCCCAGAGACTCTCCATCATCTCTCCATTCTCTCAACCTCAGGCAGCCACCCAAGCCTGACTGAGCTCCACCGCCATCCCCCTCCACCTTTCCCGACCACCAGGCCCACAAGACCTTTCCCCTTAAACCTCCAGCAGCAACTCTGAACTGACCCGTTCAGCTCTGCATACGGCTCACTACATCTAAAGATGAGAACAAGAGAATATTGAACATGGTACCTAAGAGCATGGGATCTGGAAGCAGACATTCTTGGGTTTAAATACAGGCTCTACTGCCTACTAAATGCGTGACCTTGAAAAAGGTGTCCAACCTCCCTGAGCCATTGTTTACTCATCTATAAAATGGGCACAGCAAGAGAACCCAGCTCCCAGGGTACTTTGGGGAGAGAATGGTGATGTCATAAGATTTTAGACGAAAGTGTTTGCTCACTTCCTGGTGACACTGGTGATCACAAATTGCAATTATTGGACAGAAGTATCTTCTCCTCCCTGTTCCCTGCCTAGCACAGGACTGGGCACATAGAAGACTTTTGGAAGAGAGGTTGGTGCGCCAAGCGGCTCACAGAGCCCTGTTGTGGATACCCTGCTGTGGGAAGAAGCCCCACCTGACTTACCTGGTCTGGCAGGAGCTCTCCAGCGGTGCCAGGTAGAGGCTCCAGAGGCCCAGAGCTGCAGGCATGGTGACAAGCACGGCCAGCCAGCAGCAGGACACAATGAGAGACATGAACAGGCCGAAGTCGTGGACGGCTGGGATCTGGTGATGGAAAGGAAGAGAGGGATGTGGGGCTGGTTGGACCTGGAGTCAGGGGGCCTGGGTGCCCCTGCAGCCAGAGAGACACTCAGGACCCCAGATCCCTCCCAGACTGAGGCAGGAGGAGGAGGCGGCCCAGGCTGCTAGAATGCCAGCCACCAGCTTCGCAGGACACCAGGAGCCAAGGGCTGGTGTCGGGGGACGCAGCAGCACAGGAAGGGCCCCATCTCGAGTAGAGGCTCTTGGCTATCTGTAGCCCACTGCCTAGCACAGTGTCTGGCACAGAGCAGGGCTCAGTAACTGTCATTACAGGAATGAATGGAGGACAGCAGAAGACACATCCCATTAGACCAGGCCATGTGCTAGTGGGGGTGGGTAGGGAGAGAATGTTGCCACATGACGGAAGCAGGGACCCTGGGGACTGGGAGCAATGGGTATGTTCTAGAAGTATGACAGGGACCACAAGGGGGTACCAGTTGGAAGTAAGTTGTAACCAACATCACAGCAGCCTGCACTCTGTGAAACACTTTCACAGCCATCCTAGCCTACCAGTCCCCAGATAATCCACACGTGAGGAAAGCAAGGCTCAGAGAGGTCACACAGCCTGCCCCAGGTCACACAGCAGAAGCTGAACTCAGCTCTGCCTACCTTCTGGAAGTGATTCTCTAGAAGGACCCAGATAATCCTAAAGCATCTACTGGTTTCCAGATGGACTGCTCAGCTCAGGTTGTAAAGTCTCTGAAAGACTTGCGCCAATTCACTCTTTCCACACCAAGGACCCAGCCTGGGTTCAAGGCCTTCTCCTAAGCCCCACTGAGAGGCAGCGAGACGAAGTCAGCACGAGGGAGGAAAATGCAGCTGAAAGTAGGCAGGGGTTGAGGCAGGGGTTGGGGCAGGGGGAGGAATCACTGTGGACTTGGTCAGGCTTCTCACTTACCTGCTGTGTGACCCCAAAGAAGTCACTTTACCTCTCAGGGGCCAAGTTTCTTTTTGGAAAACAGGATGGTAATTGTACCTTTGTCAATTAGCACGGGTGATGAAGATTAAACGAGAAGGAACTTTGGAAACCGCCAAATGTCCTCCAGGGTGGAGGCTGGGCTAGTACTACTGAGTATCCCTGATACACGCTGTCCAGATGATTATATTCCTACTTGTTAAGTTTGGGTAATGGGTGATCTGTGACAAAAATGAACTGTAGAGACGGAGCAAATGCCTTGAGGTGAAGGCTATGCAGGTACTCATGCAGTGGTGGAAAGGGCAGAGACGGGGGGCTAGGTGTGCGCACAGGGGCAGGGGGAGGCCAGGACAGGAACAGAGGGCAGGTCCGCACCTGGGAGAAGACGTTCGCTGCATAGGCGGCAGCTGTGGTCAGGGAGGTGAAGAAGGTGGCCTTGCCTGCAGTTTGGACGGTGTGAATCATGCGCAGCTGTGGGTCTTCCAGATGGGTGGCCTGGCGGTAGGTGTTGATGAACACAAAGACGTCGTCCACACCTGTGGGAGGGAGTCCCGGGCCAGGAGGGCAGGCTCAGGATCATTCTGCTGTCCCCAGGATCGGGCCCAACTTGGGCCTAGACCAAGTCTGAGTGGCCTCCTGGGAGGTCAGGCTGCAGCAGAGTCCTGCTTCTCAGCTTTGAGTTTGGAGAGACCCCTCTGACTGGCTCCTCCCACTAAGAGTTCAAGCCCCTCCCCCCCAACACACCAGACTCCTTGGCCCCAACCTCACCCAGAGGTAGATGCCTTCTGCCACATCCTGGCCTCCTTCCCACACTTCCTGGGCTTTTCTCACCACCCTCAGCCCCTTCAGCAAACCTTCCTGCTCTCTCCACTCACCCTATGCCAAGGATCCACCCACCACCCATATTCTAATTCCGCACTCCAAGGTTCTAGGCCTCAGTGGGGCTGTGTAGAGCCCCAGTGGAAGCCAGGCTTTGTATCCAGGGAGAAAGGGGGTGGGGCAGAGTTCCCATGTGGGAGGCGTACTGCTATGGCAACAACGGCAACTCACCAATGCCCACGATCACGAAGGCGGCCACCCCATTAAGGATGCCCAAGTACTGAATACCAAATACCACGTGGTACAGGAAGAGGGCCACCAGGCAGCTAAGACCAATGCTGGCAATCCCGAAGAAGGACAGGAACACTGGGCAGGGTAACAAACACAAGGGAGAAGGTTGGGGGATCCTCATGGAACACAAGCCCCATTCGTGTCCCTGATGTCGGCTGGGTCCCACCTCTTCCCCACAACCCTGGACACCATTCATCACTCTCTCTGTTCCCAGCACAGGCAGAGGGCCAATTCTCAGTTCTCCATGCCCAAAGAGGGCAGCAGCAGGAGGTCCAAGTGGCAGATGAAGCCATCTCTGAGTAAGTCAGGTCATCCTCCTCTTTGCAGACCTTACCTCAAGAGTCTTATGGACCTTATATATTACCTGGGGGTAGGAACTGTGTCTGGATCCCTGGTACCTTACAGCATCTGGCATATAGTTTGGTGCCCGGAAAATATTTGTTGCATGGATGAATGAACGTCTTTTCCATTTTGGAAAGTATTACTATTCTCTTGTCTGCTTGGGCAATAGAGTGTGCCTACTGTATACAGACAGCAGTAAGCAGCAGCTGGTGTCCATAGGCAGGTGGAGGTGGAAAATTGATCAGTGGGGGGCAGAGGGCAGCTGACTTGGACCCCAAAATAGGCTACAAAGTAATTCACAAAGGAGTGCAATACCCCAGGCTCCCCAACACAAGGCTATCAACAGGAGAAAGATGGTCAACAGGTCAAAGGTTCAATCATGCAGGTGCCCAGGGTAGAGGGTGTGACCCAGGCTGGCACAGCTCAACCCGCCTCTAGGCCTCAGTCTGCCTGCCCACGGTTAGAAGATGATTTCTGGACACATCCCTGTGCCCCCAGCTCTGTGTGCTGGGTTCAAGAGTATTCTGGCACTCTTAAGAAGGCAGGCTCTGGGCAGACAGGAGCACCCTGGGAGGGGAGGAGGGGGCAGCCTTGAGAGAAGCCCTACCTGAGCAGGAGGTGAGGATGTAGACCAGGGCAGCGATGCAGCTGCTGCTGATGAAGGCCAGGAGCATGTCATTGTTGAACGTCCTGCGCACTTCATAGTCAAACAGGTCTGTTCCCCCATAGAGAACCTGGACTTTGCTGGGGGAAGGGGGGACATGGAGAGAGGAAAGACGGGAAGAGGATTAGAGCTGGCTGTGAACACGTGGAGGAGGATCAGGAGCTGTCCACTTCATCTGTGGCTTTGCACATTGGCTGGACATCAAAATCACCTGGGGGCTTCCAATCATCCTGATGGAAGGCCAGACTCCAGACAAATTCTATCAGAACTGCCGGGGTGGGGCTGAATCATCAGGACTCTTTAACTCTCCCAGGTGATTCAAATGTAGGGTCAAGGTTGAGAACCACTGCTCTACGCAGATCATGATCAATTATAATCAGCTTCTACGCCATCTTCCAATTCTCCATATCTATGGCCAAGTTCTAAATTCAAACTGGCTGCTAGATATTCAGTTTTACACTGCTATTCAGTGTGTGCTTAACACAAATTATTTTTAATTAAAAAAAAAAATAACATAACCAGGCTGGTCAAACTGTGTCTTAAAATACAAACATAAGTGACATCTGCTTCTGGCCAAGATGGAGTAAGAAGATGGAGTCCAGCCTTCCCACTGGAACCAACAAAAATGTGAGAAAATACATGAAACAAGGCAACCAAGGATCATGATCCCTGAGAGATGAGAAACAAAATGAGTCCTATGCATATCCTGGCTTATTGCTTTCAGAGAGTTTCCAGTCCTCCATGCAGTCTAAAATGTGGGTTATTGAACTCCCCAAAGGAGGCTGAAAATTTTCCAAACTTGATGAAAACTATAAACCCACTGATACAAGAAGCTTCAGCAATGAACCCCAAGCACAAAAAAGCTACAGTGCACATCATAACCAAGTTGCTCAAAAATAGTGACCAAAAGAAAATCTTAAAAAGCAGCATGAGGAAAAGACACAAAGGAACAAAGACAAGGCTGTCAGCAGCCTTCTCATTAAAAACAGGGCACATGAGAAGGCAGGGGAGCAACATCCTTTGAAGGTAGTGGAAAAAAAGTCAACCCAGTATTCTATACCCAGCAAAAATACATTTCAAAAAACAAAGGCACAATGAAAAACTTTTTTAGACAGACAAAAACTGAAGTAATTAATCTCCAGTATACCTGCACTAAAAGATTTTTTTTTTTGAGTCAGGGTCTCACTTTGTCTCCCAGGATAGAGTGCAATGACATGATCATAGCTCCCTATAGCCTCTAACTCCTGGGCTCAAGCAGTCCTCCCACCTCAGCCTCTTGAGTAGCTAGATTACAGGTGTGTGCTACCATGCCCGGCCAATTTTTTTTTTCAGTATAGATGGTGATATGGTTTGGTGGTGTCCCCACCCAAATTTCAACTTGAATTGTATCTCCCAGAATTCCCACATGTTGTGGGAGAGATGCAGGGGGAGGTGACTGAATTAAGGGACTGGTCTTTCCCGTGCTATTCTCATGATAGTGAATAAGTCTCATGAGATCTGATGGGTTTATCAGGGATCTCTGCTTTTGATGTTTCCTCATTTTCTCTTGCCATTGCCATGTAAGAAGTGCCTTTTGGCTCCTGTCATGATTCTGAGTCCTCCCCAGCCATGTGGAACTGTAAGTCCAATTAAACCTCTTTTTTGTTCCCTGTTTCAGGTATGTCTTTATCAGCACTGTTAAAATGGACTAATACAGTAACTGGTACCAGTAGAGTTGGGTGTTGCTGAACAGATACCTAAAAATGTGAAGAAACTTTGGAACTGCATAACAGGCAGAGATTGGAACAGTTTGAAGGACTCAGAAGAAGACAGGAAAATGTGGGAATATTTGGAACTTCCTAGAGACTTGTTGAATGGCTTTGCCCAAAATGCTGATAGAGATATGGACAATAAAATTCAGGCTGAGGTGGTCTCAGATGGAGATGAGGAATTTGTTGGGAACTGAAGCAAAGGTGACTCTTATTATGTTTTAGCAAACAGACTGATAGCATTTTGCCCCTACCCTAGAGATTTGTGGAACTTTGAACATGAGAGAGATGATTTAGGGTATCTGGTAGGAGAAATTTCTAAGCAGCAAAGCATTCAACATGTGACTTGGGTGCTGTTAAAAGCATTCAGTTTTATAAGGGAAGCCGAGCATAAAAGTTTGGAAAGTTCGCAGCCTGACTATATAATAGAAGAGAAAAATCCATTTTCAGGGGGAGAAACTCAACCCAGCTATAGAAATGTGCATAAGTAGCAAGGAGCCTAAAGTTAACCCCCAAGATCATGGGGATTAATATTCTCTGACATGGAAAAGTTCAGAGAATTTCATGGCAGCCCCTCCAATCACAGGCCTGGAGGCCCAGGAGGAAAAAATGTTTTCGTGGGCCAGGCCCAGGGTCCCAATGCTGTGTGTAGCCTAGGGACTTGGTGCCCTGTGTCTCAACCACTCCAGTTGTGGCTGAAAGGGGCCAATGTACAGCTCAGGCTGTGGCTTCAGAGAGTGGATGCTCCAAGCTTTGGCAGCTTCTACATGGTATTGAGCCTGCAGGTATAAAAAAGTCAAGAATTGAGATTTAGGAACCTCCATCTACATTTCAGAAGGTATATGTAAACACCTGGATGCCCAGAAAAAAGTTTGCTGCGGGGATGGGGCCCTCATGGAGAACCTCTGCTAGGGCAGTGCAGAAGGGAAATGTGTGTTGGAGCCCCCATGCAGATTCTCTACTGGGACACCAACTGGTGGAGCTGTGAGAAGAGGACCACCATCCTCCAGACCCCAGAATTGTAGATTCACTGACAGCTTGCACTGTGCACCTGGAAAAGCCGCAGACACTCAATGCCAGCCCATGAAAGCAGGTGGGAGGGGGGCTATAGCCTGCAAAGCCACAGGGGCAGAGCTGCCCAAGACCATGGAAACCCACCTTGCATCAGCATGACCTGGATTTGAGACCTGGAGTCAAAGGAGATCATTTTGGAGCTTTAAAATTTGACTGCCGCACTGAATTTCAGACTTGCATGAGTTCTGTAACCTCTTTGTTTTGGCAAATTTCTCCCACTTGGAACAGTTGCATTAACCCAATACCTGTACCCCCATTGTATCTAGGAAGTAACTAGCTTGCTTTTGATTTCACAGGCTCATAGGCAGAAGGGACTTGCCTTGTCTCAAATGAGACTTCAGACTGTAGACTTTTGGGTTAATGCTGAAATGAGTTAAGACTTTGGGGAACTGCTGAGAAGGCATGATTTATTTTGCAATGTGAGGACGTGAGATTTGGAGGGGCCAGGGTGAAATGATATGGTTTGGCTGTGTCCCCACTCAAATTTCAACTTGAATTGTATCTCCCAGAATTCCCATGTGTTATGGGAGGAACCCAGGGGGAAGTAATTGAATCAAAGGGGCCCATCTTTCCCATGCTATTCTTGTGATAGTGAGTAACTCTCATAAGATCTGATAGGTTTATCAGAGGGTTCTGCTTTTGCTTTTTCCTCATTTTGTCTTGCCATCACCATGTAAGAAGCGCCTTTTGCCTCCTGCCATGATTCTGAGGCCTCCCCAGCCATGTGGAACTGTAAGTTCAATTAAACCTCTTTTTGTTCCCAGTTTCAGGTATGTCTTTATCAACAGCATGAAAATGAACTAATACAGATGGGGTCTCATTACGTTGCCCAGGCTGGTCTTGAACCCCTTGCCTCAAGCAATCCTCCCACTTTGGCCTCCCAAAGTGGGATTACAGGCGTTAGCCTCTGTGCTCAGCCTATGAGAGATGTTAAAGGAAATCCTCAGGCAAAAGGAAAATGCTAACAGATGGAAATATGGATCTATATAAAGAAACAAAAAGCACTGAAAATGGTAATGACATCAATAAATATATACAATTTTCTTATTTATTTAAATCTCTTTAAAAGATAATTGACCATTTAAACAAAAATAATGTAATGTGTGGCTTATAATACACATTAAAATAAAATGTATAACCACATAACATAAAGGTCAGGAGGGAAAAAATGGAAGTATACTATTGTAAAGCTCTTATACTATATATGAAATGATATAATATCATTTGAAGATACACTGTGATAATTTAAAGATATATACCATAAACTCTAAAGAACCACTCAGAGAGTTATAGCAGAAAAGCCAACAAAGGCAATACAACAGAATTATAAAAAAATTCAATTAGCTTGAAAGAAGGCAAAATAGAGGAAAGGAGAAACAAAGAGCATATGGGACAAATAGAATTAAACATACTTAAGTCTAACCATATTAATAATTGCATTAACTGTAAATGGCTTAAACACTTCAAGTAAGTTAGAGAGTATCAGAGACCTTTAAAAAAAATCAAGACCTAGTTGACTACCAGAAACCCACTTTAAATATAAAGACACAAATAGGATAAAAGCAAAGGGATAGAAAATGATATACCATGCTAACATGGATCAAAAGGAAGCTGGATTGGTTAAATTACTAAAAAATGAAGAAAATTTCAGAGCAAAGAATATAACTAGAGGCAAAGAAGATAACTTCAAAATGATAAAGGGATCAACTCATCAACCAAACTACAATCCTAAATGTTTTTATAGCTAATAACAGAGGTTTAAAATACACCAAGTAAAAACTAACAGAACTGAAAAAAGAAATAGCGAACTCCTGATTGTAGGTCGATGTTTCAATCTCTCTCTCAATATTGCTAGAAAAATCAGACAGAAAATTACTAAGGATAGAGAAGACCATGAACAACACAATCAATGCACTTGATCTAATCAACACCCACAGAACATTTCATGTAAAAACAGAACTTTTCTTTTCATGCATATAGAGAACATTCAGCAAAAAATACCATGTACTGGACCATAAAACAAGACTCAATACATTTAAAAGAACTTATATCACACAACGTATGTTCTCTAACCATCATGAAATTAAATTAAAAATCGGCAACAAAAAGCCTGAAAAATTCCCAAATATTTGAAAACTAAATAACATACTTTTAAGTTATAGATGGGTCAAAGAAGAGATCAAAAGGAAAAACAGAAAGTATTTTGAACTGACTGAAAGGGAAAATAACATATCAAAATTTTGAGATATGCTAAAATG